AGTTATCGATAAATTGTTGCAACTTGATTTTGGTGGTTATTTGTTTCATATTCATTGTATTTGTTATATTTTAAATTTAATTGTACAAAATGGTTTGAAATATATTAAAGATGAAATACAAAGAATTAGGAAATGCACTAATATATATCATGATCTCCCCTAATAGAAAACAAGCATTTGAGGAATTTTATATCGAATTTGGGGTGATAAATGCTAAAATATTTAATTTATTTCATAACATTAACACGTACATATATGATTCAAATACAATAGGTTCATATCCATCTAGTAATATTTTGTCTGCTGCATCTCCATCAACCAAAACATCGAATGAAAGTGCAAATGCATCGTCTGCTGAGTTAATTGATTATTTTAATCATAATATGCTTACCAATAAAATAATTAATTTTTTTTTTTGAAAATGTTATTGAATTTTGGCGGAGGTACGAACAACGATGATCGGTAGTTTTCGCAATTACAAAAGATTTACTGACACCTCCGATTAGCACTGTAACTTTGGAGTATGCTTTTAGTGCATGTAAGAGGGTTTTATCCGAGGGCAAAAGTCGACTGAAAGAAAATATTTTAGAAGTATTAATGTGCATGAAAGATTGACAAGACGTTCATTTCCGCATACAAGATAAATATGTCGAAATTGCATGTCGTCAATTAAATGATATTAATTATACTTGTTTAATCACAATTTGTTATTTTATGATACTGTTTTTAATTGTCTTTAAAAAAATTGTACACACTACAAGTTGTTCGTGTACAATTTTTAACTTCACCTACTAAAAATTTAAGTAGCCGATCCCAAACCCGGATAAAGGAAGAGAGTTTATATTTTATCTATTTTAAAAAGAAAAAGGAAAAAATCATTTAAATCAAATCTTTTTGCTCGATCTATTTTTTTTAAAACATAGTTTTCATAGGTTTTATTTATTTTCAGCATTAGAAAAAAATAAAATAAAATTGGCAAGCTGGCGAGCCCACGTCGCGCCGTCCCTAGGACCGTCGTATTTGACGGGTCACAGATTAGTCCGGTTAACACCTAATTGAAAACGGTTCGTGTTTGACCTGGACTGTTTATTTCGTGGGCCGGTTCAAGCCTGAATGGAGCCTGGGCTGGATTCCAATGTTGACACCCCTCCGATATATCGAAGCATAAGCTGCGCCGCCAACATTCTCAAAAAGAAAAACCCTAGTTATTCCTATAAATATGCACATTTTTACGTCAAAAACTCAATTCATCCCGTCTTTATTTTTCGGGATGAACCCTAATATTAGATCTCCAGAGCTTGCGATATTAACAATTCGCAGGTACACTCACTTGTATGAATCTCGGTGTGTAGGTAGGCCAATTCGCAGGTCAAGAAATTTTATTTTTATTTTATTTTTGGGATTTTTTCAAGTATTGGCCAATGATTATACATTAATTTTGACAAGCATATGTCTGAATTACAATATGTGGATCAATCTAATCTTCTCTATGAGGCCATCTTATTCTGTTTTCCTTGTTTGATTACTAGATCTGTTATAACTATTTGATTGATAGATTTTTCAGAAATTTTTGTCCATTAAAAAGGTAAAATCGATTTCAAAAAGGTGTTTTCGTTCGTTAGTTTGATTAATAGATATGGCGAGCTGCCAATGATGATTGAAGTGATATTCATTCATGAGAAATCTTTGATTACAGCAACACTACTGCCTTCCTTCTGAGGCGCTATTCCAATCACAGATCCTTTTTTTAGGTTTATGTGTACATTTATATATTTGTGTGAAATTTGTATACCCTTGGTGTTTTTGCTGCAAATTGATGAATAAAATGGGATCAAATGATGATTAGAAGCATAGTTCAAATGATACATTATGTGATTATAAATTTGTATAGTCTTTCGCTCCTATCTGATGATTCCCATTGATTTTCTAATTCAAAAATCAACTCTTTTTCTATGGTTTTTGTATTATTAGTGTCTTCCTGATTAGTTAATTCCAGTCCAAATGTCAATTTACAATGTGGGACGATGACGACTAAATTGATATTGGTCTCGTTCGTCGTAATGGTGTTCGAATGATACACCTTGCCGACCAACCTGATATATCACCACCCATAAACTGAGTCCCTTTGGATTTAAAGAATGAAATTTTTTTTTCTTCTAAATTGGGCAGAGATGACTAATGCTTTATTCTGACACCTCTTGTATGAGAAGAGCGTTTGCTCTTTTATGAGCACATAAAGCAACTCTCTGAGCCCATTACAGTACAAATTTTCAATATAGTTGCAGCTTTGTGTTGTGAATTTGAGGAGAAATTCAGGCAGCCTCCTTTCTTCTGTTTAGATAATTGGGAAGGGCGGTGTTGTTCTGCTCGTAAATTGAAGTTGGGCTCTTCAGACTTGTTGATTTTTTACTTGATACTGGTCTAGTAAGCCTAACTAAATATGTTTACACTTTATCTGGTCTAGTAATTTGTTCGTTTCTGAAAAATCTGAGAATTTTCGTGTTTCTTTTTTAGCACAATTTGGTGGGCTTCTTGTTAATTTATGCTAATTCTCAGCTTCTTTATCTGGTCTGCAGAATATATATATATATATGTATATAGCTGTTTCTGCTTGACTCGTTCCCTTGAAGCTATATTATCCGTGTTCCTCTCGCTATCCATTGTTCTCTTTTAGTTCATTTGGACGTTGGGGAACTACATGTTCTAACAGAGGATGTTATTCTATCTTTCATCTCTCTAGTAAGATGTTTATCCATTTGATAAAATTTTTTTTTTTAATTTTTGTTTATTTAACTACTTTGATCATTTCTGAACACCTCATAGTATTTTTGGGGTGTTCAAAGATTTGATGATTTCTCTTTCATTGTCAAGTTCAATGGGTTTCGGGCCCATAAATTGAACCAAGGAAATCTATGAACTCAATTTGATTTTTAAGATGAAGATTATAGTAATTAAAAGATTCAAGGTCAAATGGTGAGATAACTTCAATCTGGCTGTAGTGAAAGAGCATGCACTACATGAATGAATGGAACGATGGATGACTTCTATCTTCATCATAATCAAGCATCGCTTCTGAAAAATTCATCAATCACTTAAAGCTACAGTGAATCAAATGAAGTTGATTGCTATTTTCAGGATCTCTTTTAAGCAATGATAACAATTAACTAGGAGCCTGGCTACAAATTTGAGAACTAAAATCTTCAAAGAGAAATGGAGAATGATTTGTCAGAACTTCGTTTTTCAAATCTGTAGTTTTCATCAATCTTGCAAAGAATAATGCAGGAATAATGATGATTTTGACGGGTGATCGGATCATGAGGAAATATTAGTTCAAAATCCTTTGTTTCTCAATGCAAATTTAGATGAAGAGGCCAGCCAAAGCGAGCAGAAGGGTTTCAGATATTGTATTTCTAGTATTTTTTATAAGGTTCCATTTGATTGTAAAGAAGAAACTTAAGTGGAAAGAAAACGAATTCAAAGAATTGTTTACAATTTATTTTTTTGAGAATTGTAAATTATTGTATTTGATTGATATAATTTTTCATGTGAAAAAATGTTGAAATAAAAGTATTTTTTAGTGTTAATTTGGGTTTGTTTTGTATAAAAATTGTTAATTATAAAGAGATAAATTTTAGTGATGCTGAGGTTGAAATTTTTTTCGTTGTCAAAAAAAAATAATAATAAATAAAGAAAATTATATAATTTTGATGTTTGTTTGATTTTATTTTACATAGAAATTAACAATTAAAAGAAAATATTTGTTTGCAATAATTCTTAAAAGTTGTTTTAAAAATCCTGGAATTCACTTTCCCACTATCCAAACAATCAAGGAAAACTTGAGCACCATGGAATTCACTTTTCATGGAAATTTTTTGCAATCAAACACTCACAATTGGCCAACATGCATTTTCCATGGGAATGGATGTCTGTCAAACGGAGCATAATTGTTGTCATCGCAGGTAGTGTTGCTAGAGTTTTAAATATGGATTTTAATTCCTATTCACTTCAAATTAATTATTTATATATTTTCTTAATGTTAATATTTTTTTTTGTATATGTATGATTGAATTAAAAATAGGGCTGGGCATCACGAATCGGATCTGAACCGAGTTGTTCTTTTTAAGTTTAATACTCGAAAGGGTATTTGAATCAAGAATCAATGAATTTGATTTGGTTCTCGATTCTAGATTAAAAATCAAATAATTGAATCATCTTAATTTTTTTTAATTTATTTATTTTAAATGAGACAATTTTTTTATTTTTTAAATAAATTAGCTAACTAGTTAATATAGCTCAAGTCCAAAAATAAGATTTTTCGTATTTTTAATTTTTGGTTCAAGCTCAACTTAATTAATTTGATCTAAATTTTTACTCAAATTTGTTATTTTATTGTAGTGCTTCCCTTTTTTTTTTTTGGAGAAATCGAATTGAAACTTGACGGCGCTTCTTTTAATGATTATGAGCTTACTATCTTTTTCTTTCGATGATTTTAATAATCGAATTTATGAAAAATTCAACATAGAGAGAGAAGTAAGATTTAGTTATATTATTTTGCAAAAGTTAAGATTGACTAATGTAGCTTTGTAAAATATTAAAAAAATTATTTATATTACGGAATCGAAGTATTGAATGGAATCGCAATGAACTGAATTGAATCGAATTCGAACGATTTTATAATTAAATTTGAACTTGACACTTCCTAATTAAAAAGCATAAAAAATACAAATTTTAGAAGAGTTTGTGTGGGAATTTCCTGTTGCATTTGGCGCGGGATTAGGGGATGAGAAATATCGTCCTCCCTGATTTAAGTAACTTCTTTCTTTTGTAAAGGATTGGTGCATAATTTTTTTGCCTCAAAACAAATCGTATTAAGCAAAACTCTCTGCAATTATGACTGAAGCTGTATCTTTTCTATTGGTTCTAATACAGTATCATACTCGAAAGGTGGAAAGCAAATTCAAACAGACGACAGCAGTAAGCTACAATATGCAATCTCAGGAAACAATAATGAGAATCAGAAACTGAATTAGGAAATGAATAGGTTTACCACATGGTGTAAACGCATAGATACAAGATGAATTGTCATAGAATAACCCAACAAGATAGAAGATGTATAGATACATGTGTTGGTTAATCTTGCAATATGCAAGAAATTCACAAGGCAACGTCGAGCTTTTTGAAACTTAAAACGCCACCATACATGAAGAGTACCCATAGCTTCGCACCAAAACATAATCATGTTTGCAAAACACCAATGGTGATTTTGCTTTGAACCCACAAGTACGAAAGCGAAAAATGGATTTAACTGCAGTGATCTGGCATTCCGATGAAGACTTGGATCTCTTGAGCACCATCTGGCTTCTTGAATTGATAGCAGTTGATCCATTCTGATATCCTGTAATGGTACCAGATGTCGGTGACAAATTTGAATAAGAACCGTCAAGTTTTTCTTTACTATAAATCCTTTTTACGCCATTCTCTGGTGTCTCATCTGTATTAGCATTCGATGCAACTATCTGATCTTCTGCAGTAAAGTTCAAGATTCTCTCAGATTCACTTTGAAAACCGATGGCTCGCCATGCATCTGCCACAAGCTGAATAGTTTTCTTCTGAGGACGCACACCCGTCTGTTCCATACTTTGGAGGAACTCCTCGGCTTTCCATGGCTGTTTTGCTTCCCCGTATCCCCATATTAGAGTTTCAAAGGTCTTCAAATTTGGGGATACATCCATCTCACACATTTTCTCGTACATTCTTAGAGCATACTCCATTTTACCAGTGCTACACCATCCACTGATGATTGTAGTGAAGATTACTACGTTTGGATGAACTTTTGACGACCCCATGACTTTCAGGAGCGCCTCTGCCTTTTCTGGTTCCCCGGCACGCACATAGCCTTTTGCGAGAATGCTAAATGCATGAATGTCGGGTTCTATGCCGTTCTTAACCATATCGTCAAATATTTCTTGGCATTTGTCCATGAGTCCAGCAGAACTCCATGCATTCATTATAGTGCTAAATGTTACCACGTCAGGTTTTACCCCGAATTCTTCCATCAGTGTCAGTGTCTGCATAAATCAATAAGAGAATTAAGAAAACAGTTTTCACAGGTAGACTATACAAAGAGGAAAATACCAATGCCACTTTAGTACCTAACACATGGAATAACAACATATTAACTTTGGAATATCCAGTAGTAGCCTTGCATCTGCTAGGCAATAAATGAATGAGATCTTACATAATGATACTTTGTATTAAAAAAGAAGGGAAAATCTGTGATTTGTTTCTTTTATTACAAAAAAAAAATGGAGGAAAAAAATGGAAGAAGAAGAAAGGTTGAGAGAGAGACGGTGCATGGCGTTGTTTGTCTAGGACATAAACATCCTTTTGCCAAATTAAGAAACTGAAGCAATTCAACAATATCAATGAAACTGCTGACCGATTCTTCTCATTCATCTCTAACATAAAATATTTTGATTGAGAAAAATTCATTATGTCATCATCAAAAGCCAAAGCTCACCTCATCAACTCCATCGGGATCAGTACAGTCGAGAAACCCTTTGACGAGTGAGTTGAATATGACAAGATTTGGATGCACTCCAAGATCCTTCATCTTGTACACAAATCTGAATGCATCCGTCATATTACCTTCTCCACAATAACCATTTACAATTATACCACATGTCCGCTCGTTCGGTTTCACTTTGTCGTTTAGCATCTGAAATATCATTGCTTCAGCTCGACTGGTGTCACCATTCTGGGCATAAGCCTTTGCTATTGTATTGTACGTCACAACATCAGGTTTAACGCCAGCTGAAATCATTTTGTAGACCACATTCCATGCTTCTGAAATGTTTCCCTTGTTACACCAAGCTCGAACGAGAATATTATACGTCCTGTCATTTGGTTTCACATTTTCTTCCTGTAACATGATATCAAACAGTTTCAGACATTCTTCGGGTTTACCAATGATTCCGAACCCTTTAATTAAGGTATTAAAGGTACTGGTTGTTGGCTTACACCCTTTCTCCCTCATTTTCCGTAATATTTTCATTGCTTCCTTAATGTTTCCTGATTCAGAGAAAGCATTAATCATTGCATTGAAGAATATAGAGTCGGCTTTTAGTCCATTCTGTTCGATCTTATTAAGAAGTGACGGAATTGACTTGAAACGCTTCTCAAGAGTAAGAGCAGCTAAAACAGTTGTGTACGTTACGAGAGTTGGCCTGTGTCCTTCTTCCGTTAAACCTTTGAAAACAGAGTGGACTTCACGAGGTTTCCCCTTCTCTATCAAAATATTCATAAACTTTGTTCTTGAGAGAACTGTTTTGCAACTATTATAGCTTGAGCAAATGGGACAGGAGGATTCACTTGGAGCATTCATTGAAGCTGAAAAAGGATGTAATTGTTCCTCTTGCACATGTGGCTCCTGCACAACAATGAAGGTATGGACAAGCAATCAATGTGTGTAGCCATTTGTTCAACAAAGAGGCAGTCTAATATAAGTTTGAGCAATTTGGAATGATTAGTTCAGACACAAAAGATCGACAGCTGCTGAAATCATTTCCGAGAAAGATAAATCAGAAGATCAGCTGATTGATATGCTCAGATAGTGGAATTTCACTGTTAAGCAAGAAGTAATTTATAGGTGCACAATTGTGAAAGATAGAATATTGTTAGTAAACCATGTAATGTAAAATTCTCAAACTTCACAAACGAAATTAAATAAACATACAAAACTATCAATATCAAAATTTTAAAGACACGGTATAAAGTATCTCAAAATTCAATGTTATAATGGTCTGAAAACACAAACTAATTTTCTTTTAAACAATATTTCAACTTTGCCGTTAATTCTCTATTGGATATGGCAAGCCCATATATTAGCACAAAATAATAATAATAATAATAAATAAATACCATCCAAGGAACTGTTTATATAAGACCCCTCATACAATTCAAATAAAGTCAATAAACTCATGGAGTTACTTTAGCCATACCATGAAGACTGATGCTTGAATTTGTGTCTTGCTCGTGATTGTTCCATTCAGCTGCTTTCTTTTGACTATAGATTGGGTCCTCTCTTTACGGGAGTCTCCCATATCTTCTAATGGTTACCTGTATGCATCTGATCCTTCTCCTGCTATTTACTTGGCATATTAATTATAGTTGCGTGACTATTTTACAAAAAGAATACACAACTACTACGCAAATGTTATCCAGTACTGAACTAATCAATTTAACAAACTTCAATGAAATCCAATTTTTATGGCTGCATGCACAGGTTCAACATTAGAACCAAGTAAGCTGATCTAAAGTTTTACTCTAAATTTTAGCACTGACTTTTCCTACATTAGGTAGTACTGAGCAATAAGTCAGAGCCACTGGATCAGTGTCAGTTTAGTACTTTGTAAATGCATTTTCTGTGAGATGCCTACATCTGCATGCATATTTTTTTGGAAAAAAAAAAAAAAAAAAAAAAAAAAGCGTTCAAGATCATAGTTCAGAAGCCCAGAAGATACCATCAAGCAAGGGCAATGTTTGAAGCCGACGCCCTGAGATGAGTAACAATTGGACAGCTTGTTAGTCCTAGAAAACGTCAATTGTTTGCCCATCTCATCTCAGGCGATCAACAGATGGGAAATTTGGAGCAAAAAAAGGGCGTTCAAGATCATAGTTCAGAAGCTCTGAAGACTGACATGTATATTTATTATTTGTCTGGTAAGGAGGACTCCCATATAATAAACATTATTATTAAAATAAGAAAAGAATATAAAATCTTCATCATTGTAATTTCCAATCCTCTCTAATACAAGGTACCAAATACGCATCGAGTAAGTGGATGAAGAAACTTAGTTGATTTAAATTTTGAAATGTTATTGAATTGTACACACATCATTAAGCGAATGTATGTACGCAAGCTTAGCTAGCATCAAAGATGTAACATATGAAGAACCATAAAGTGAGAAGCCCCATAATGTAAGTATCATTTACTAAAACTTCTTGTCAATCGAATTATAATAGGACGGTTTAAACTTGCAACGACAACCAATATCATAAATCCCCACCAAGTAAGAAAAGAAAATTTAAGCACATTTAAGAAAACAACTATAAAATTTGGCGGACAATGTGGAACATAATTGCACTGTGCAATATGCTGGGTAATCCACACATGTATTAGGGCAGCCTAATATTTTTATCATCTATATAAAGGATTTAATGGCACATTTTTAGCATAGACGAGATAGACAGGAGCACGGTAACCTTGTAATTCTTTCTCCATTACACCAGCAAATTGAACAATGACCTTTTAAGATGAAATCCAAAGTCATATTAAAAAACCCATTACTCAAATGAGCAATTTGATCCTACCAAGTCCAAATATGATATCAAAGCTTATTAAGCTCAAATGACTAACTCCATCTGTTTGATGCTCACATGAGCAATTGTATCGTGGCCGGTCCTGGGCAGAGGCGAATGAGGCCTCTGCCTGAGGCCCAATTAAGAAGGAGGCCTCCGATTTTCTTTCTTTTCTTTTTTTTTTTCCCTCTCTAAAGGATAAAAAAACTAGATTTAAGGCCAATTTCTTACTTCCTGTTTGGCCTATGTGCATGCGTGCGAGAAAGAATCTACAATTAATAGTTAATTTTAAGTTAGATCCAATGGAAAATCCTATTAATTCTTTTTTGATTTGTGAGTGATATTCTCCAAAAACAAGCTTGCTACTTCAAGTTTATCCTCCTCTTAGGTTTGTAATTCTATTTTATTTTCTTAAAATGATTATAGTTTACTTTTATACTCATCATTCATAAAATAGATAGAAACTTTTCTTGAGACTATTTGAGTTGAAAAATTAACAAATCAACAAATATTTTCCTTGAATTCTTGGGTTCTCTTTAAAAAGAATTGTGCTAATAATCGTGTTGTTTTACTTTCCATCGGATATTATAAGACGAAAGAGTTAAATATGTATGTTATTTTTGTCTTTTTTCCTAATTAATAGATGACGTTAAGTTATAATTATGATTGATATATGATTATAATGCAACTTTTGAAAATAAATACTATGTAGCTATGTAGATTGATAGATGCTTTGCTATATTTGTGGGGTTTCTGTATTACTAAAGTAGAAATTCTTAAGAACTTTCAGATGCCTACCACCTCTTATGTCATGTTTGTATGGAGAATTGAATTTATCTAATGCTTCAAGTAAATCATAATTTTTTTTTGATTGTTAGATACCACTTATTTGATTGGGAATTAAATGTTATTTCTCTAGTTCCTTTGTGTTTTGAAGCTTTAATATTGAAATCCTTTTGACACAAAATGGTAAAACATTGACTGTTTAGTATTTAACCAATCACTTGGGACATTGTCAAATTTGTTATTTGATTATAATAAAAATATTTTGTATAATACATTTTCCTTATTGTTTAATAATTGATTTCATAAGACATTGATAAAATTTGCATGCATACTATAATTTTTAGGGTCTAATTAAGGAAGTTCGCCTCAGGCCCCAAAAATCACAGGACCAGCACTGAATTGTATTCCAAGATTGGTGTCCTCAGACGAGCCACCGTCTTGGAATCATGTTAAGGATAAATCCCACATTAGTTAGACATTAAAACACCTACCAATGTACAACGGTACGTGCTGATCCTAACAAGTTTGATCTACCGTCTTGGAATCATGTTAAGGATAAATCCCACATTAATTAGACATGAAAACACCTACCAATGACAAGGGTGCGTGCTACTACTAACAAGTTTGATCTTATGAATCCCAAGTTCTATCAAAAATGATAAACTACAGTAAATCTGAATTTCTTTTCTCGTTTTCTGAATGTTTTTCTATTCTCTTATTACTCTGGCATGTAGGGATCAGGCTTATACAAATGGAATTAAGATGAACGAAATCTTAAAAAGAGTAACTGACTGAACTCACTTTAAATACAGAATCATTCAAAAGCAACATTATCAGTTACCTCCATACTTACCCACGCACAAAATTAACTACCCATTGCGTTATAACTTGAAGCAACAGATTCAAGAAGCCAGTGCAGAAAATGGGAAACAAAAATTATTTAACGCATGATCATCGGTATGTATCAAAATGGCACGCACAACACACACTCTACAGAGAGAGATAGTACCTTGTTCATTTGAGTTGGGTCCAGATGAAGGGGAAGAATTTGCATGGTAGCAGAGTGGAATCTGTATGAAATGAGATTGTATTGTAGTGAAGTGGCATCTACTTGGGTTATTCTTATCCACATATATAATCATAAATCAGAAAAAAATTTGAAAGATTTGTTTTTCTCAGTTTCTATCGAGAGGCTTAGAAGGAATCAGGAAATGCAGTCGAGTGGATGCAGAGCCTGCCACGTCAATTTCCTCATTTTTATCGTTGAAAAATATACTTCCACTCGTTTGACGTTGTAAGAGCTGTTTGGTTGAGCTTAAAAAAGTTCAATCTCACTTATGATATTCTATTCACTCGTTGAAAAAATGAAGCTTTGAACTTCTCGTGAAAAAGTATCCATGTTAGTTTAAAATAAATAAATAGTTTAATTAGTTAAAGTTAAAAATAAATAATTAATTAACCTTTTTTATTTTATTTTATTTTTTTTAAAAAAAAAAATTAGATTCTCCAAATGATAGAATTCGTTTAAGACTTTAATTTTTCCAGCCAGTTTGAAAAGGTTGGAGATGACAGATGCAATTTTTCCTAAATTTATTGTGAAGTAAATAAAAATTACAAAACTAACAAATTGTTTTCTCGAATACTTTGTATCTTGTTACAAGTTGACACCTATATTTGGAAAAAAAAATAAAAAATCAGAGATTGCATAAACGTTTCGGAGCGGTATCAAACTGAAGCAAAACTCTGAATACTAGATATGATATCAAATAACATGGGTCAAGATCGGCCAATGAGACAATGGGAGATAAGCTTTATCGTTGAGAAGAAAACAACCCAGATCACCAACTGCTATGAAACGACTTATTAGTAAATTAATAGATCACTTCGGAATGGTATATATATCACACATTATGAATCAAGTGAGTTAAACTCTTTTGTTAAATTAGTGCTTGTTTGGCCTTCCTTATTCAACATTATAATTAGAGGAATAGTAATCTTGGGATGAATGTAATTAAAAAATAAGGAAATTTTTTTTTTTTTGAATTTATGTCTTAATATTATTTTATTGAAGAATATATGATTGATAAGAGAAAGAAAAATGAATTATAGTTTAATGGGGAAAAATCGGGACCAAACGGGTAATTATTGTTTTTAAATTTATCAATGTAAGATTCTATATTAAACAGACTTTCTGATCAACTCTTACCATTAAAAAGCATCAGAATGTACAAAGCCACCTCTAAAACCAAATAAATTGACTCTTTTCTTACATTAGGTTACAGGTTCTTGGGATGTACATGTTTAAAGACAATCTACGTACTTTTTTTTCTAAAAAAGTAACTTCTAAACTCAAAAAATTGAATTATGGTTTAATGAGGAATAATCGGGACCAAACAGGTAATTATTGTTTTTACATTTATCGATGTACGATTCTACATTGAGAGATGCTAGGCGTACAGATTCTGACTTCACATAATCCATACAGACCACTCACAATAGGGGTGTGGTGGGGTGAATTTTTTGATACTTTTTTATTCATATGGGATCACATTCATGTGAGATTTCTGTATACCTTCTATGATATAAACCCTATACATATGGAAAAACTCTTCTACATTAAACAGAATTTCTGATAAACTCTTACCATTAAAAAGCATCATTGAAAAAGCATCAGAATGTACAAAGCCACTTCCAAAACCAAATAAATTGACTCTTTTCTGACATTAGGTTACAAGTTCTTGGGAGGTACATATCTAAAGACAATCTACGTACTTCTAGAAAAAAAGTAACTTCTAAGCTCAGAAAAATGAATTATAGCTTAATGGGGAATAATGGGACCAAACGAATAATTATTGTTTTTACATTTATCAATGTAGGATTCTACATTAAACAGAATTTCTGATCAACCCTTACCATTAAAAAGCATCAAAATGTACAAAGCCACTTCTAAAACCAAATAAATTGACTCTTTTCTGACATTACGTTACAGGTTCTTGGGAATTACATGTCTAAAGACAATCTACGTACTTTTAGAAAAAAGTAACTTTTAAGCTCAGCCAAAGATGGTCGATAGGAACAGAAATCATGAAATACAGACTATAAATATGAGCTGTGACCTCCACCAAGGGGTATACTCGGCTTGAATACAGCAGATACCATCAAGCAAGGGCAATGTGTGAAGCCGACGCCCTGAGATGAGTAAATGTTAGTCCTAGAAAAGATGCATAGATAGCAAGCAGACTAAAAATTAACACCGAGAGAGTTAATATACGGGGTCGTCATTGAACTTAAGAGAAGAATTATGTCGGTCACTTAATTTTTAACTTTACTACAATCCAGTCGCTCCATTAATTTGACTAACAGAACGGTAACATGGTAGTCTAGTTATTTGCCACCTAGACTCTCACTCAAGTCTTTTCCGTTTGTCAAACTAATGGGCATAGACAAAATAATTAAATTTAATAAATGTTCAAATTCACTAACTTGGAACAAAATGAAGTTCAGTGACCAACATTTTCCGCTAAAAGTTGAGCTACCAGCTGTGTTTATTAACCCATACCAAGGTTAACTTAAAAAATTTCGATAAGCACAAGAAGACAGATCCAAACATGGACTAGATGATAAAAATGTCTAGAAATCCCATGGAAAAGGGGCAAAATCACAGTGAGAAGCAAACAATGCAGTAATCAAGAATCAAGATTATTTTCTATCCATTGGATGGAGGAAACCGACAAGTAACATACCGGAATACTTAGTAGAACTCCTTGAGGATTGACTAGGACCGGCATGGCTCTTCTTGCGGCAACTGGGATAGACTTTAAGGACATAAGAGCTCTATGCGCTGATAATTTGGCATGCTCTGAACACGAGATCGTTTTCTTGGAGTGAATTTGTTGTTGAAAATTTTCCATATTTCTCAACTTGGACAAGTCAGAAAGATATATCCAATCAGCATCAATCATGCGGCGCACTTCAGCCCCCATCTGATGATCAATCATGCAAGAACAACAACACTGTCCTTCAACAACCAAATCCTTGTCCCCCACAAACTCGTTCATAGATGATACATTAGGAGACATTTTACGGAATCCCATCCAGTTCAATATAAATCTGTTCATGAAGTATCCTACCTGTCCAGGATAAATTGATTTGCTGGGAGGAGCACCTGCATGTCGTACATCATCTTTCGTCTCACACTCGGAGATAATTTCAGGTTTAGACTTAAAATTTTCACTTTCTTCTTTCTGCAAAGAAACAATACTCCTATGTGTAGAGTCACTAAGAATGTCCAACCTTTTGGCTTCAGTAAGAACAGATACAGAGGATGTTATGTCCATAAATGGCAAATTTGAAGCATCTGGGAGAAATTTATCAGAGTACGCTATCCCACTAGCTATAATTTGCTCTAACTCGCTCGAAACAAAGCATTCATGTCTTTCATACATAAAGTCTTCAAATAACTCCAGTTTTGGAGGAAATGCCGAATTAACAGAACAGCATACTATGATTTTAGTTCCTTTAGACCCCGGAGCTGGACAAAGGTAACAACCAGCTACAGTAAGACAAGTCTGCAAGAATGCAAAAGAAATTCCCTTAATTAACACGTCCATTGATAACATTGCAAGAAGAAATCTACTACAAACTCCGAAATGTAATTAATTCTTTGTTTTGAAAGAGAAAAGGATTAAAAAGAAAAATTTTAAAACTGATTTAGGATCAAACGAAGAAAATTAATTCTTTGTTTTGAAAGAGAAAAGGATTAAAAAGAAAAATTTCAAAACTGATTTAGGATCAAACGAGGACTTTTATTGGCATTTCTTAGTAAGTAATGTAGCAAACAAGATATAAATCATAAGTCCAATACAAAAGGAGGGGCAGAACTTCTTTCACCTTGCATGGAGAATTACGAATGTAGTCCAATAGTAATTTTGATGCACTGCCTCGAACAGGTCTATGTTTTTGTGAGATGAACTGATGTAACCTTTAGCATTAGTAGGTCATCTAATACAACTGACAAAAAAATTCCAGCAGTAGGAGATGAAAACATGCAAAATAGCAATACCTGCAACACCGAGGCTATAAATTTGACGAGGCAGATGTCCTCGACTTCTTTTGGATTGAGGGTTTCTAGATCAATCACTGCATATCCATGCTGCATTGGTATTTGGAGATAGGGTGAAATCATCAGGACAAAAATACTTCTCATTATCACATTTAACGAATTTTAAGCAGGATGAGCCAAAATATAACCAGAAAAAGTTCGAAAATATATTTTAGCGTATACAACAAAAAGTGTTTAAATCGAGCATTATTCATGATTGTCATAGGGAGAACAAGACGAGTATAAGTAAAAAGAAAAAGAAGTGAAAATCTTGATCTTTATTTTTTGCAGTCCCGTCTAATACAGAATAGCAAACATGCACGAAGAGTCTCAGGTATTGAAGTATACATACGGGCACAATGGTCACAGCCTCATTTATCAACTTGCAACAGAGTTTGTCAACAAGCAATCGTGTTCTCCGGCATTCAGATATAACTGCTTGTAACTCGGTCTTGAAGATAGCTACAGGACGGAAGTTAAATGTCGTTAAATGTGTAAATTCACTAGTGTTCATACAGAAAACAATACCAGCAAAATAGCCGATGCCACAAATGGTATAAAAAATGGAAGATATAATAAAATGTGAAGACTTAGCTAGTGATAAAATTTGAAACTATGTAAATAACCCTGTGGTGCATCAAACTTAAAAAATCAGTAGCACATCTTACATGTTGACAAGCTATTTAATGACATTCTGATCCTATTGCGAACATACAATGGGCTTCGATTTGTTGGATCCTCCACCCATTCTTGATTGCCCCCTTGACATATCTGCAACATTAACAAATGAAACACTGAAACATGTATCTGCACCTAGCTCAAAATGAAACTAGAAATAAAAAAAAAGAAATAAAATATATTTTATATATAACTATATAAACACTTTAAGAAGGTTTACATTGTACATATCTTCCTTTGAAAACTCTAGGAGCGGTCGAACCAATACAATGCCATGAGCTTTTGATGCTTCACAACTACAATCTGGAAATTTTGCAAAAATTTGAGAAGCAAATGCCATGCCAGCAAGCCCAAGCATACCGCTATTGCGAGATAATCTGAGAACGAATAGCTCGGCCTGCATTATGACTCTGCCTTAGCAATAATAATCTAACATCCACATGGTGCCTATTAACTTTGACTCAGAACCAGAATTTTTTTGCATTTTTTCCAATGATATCTTGACTTTGTTTATTTCCACAACACAGATTCAGAAAAAAGAATGAAAAGAAATGCCTACGATATGATAACAAAAGTATCTATCGACAAACAGTTAACAGCCTCCTAATAGATGCAACCATTTGTTTATTTCACACGTGACTTCAAACATACACAAGGATGTGCAAAGGAATGGACACTAATATAAAAATGCGCTTATTAACATAAGAATAAATGCATTGAAGGAAGCTTGGATGTTAACAGTTTTATCATTTTACGAAGTTTAACTACCTTCTTAATGACATGAAAACTTGTTAGATTTTCCACAACTTCAAACATACATGAGCATGTGCCAGACAACTTATCAAAAAATGGAAGAAAGAACAAGGAGAATACTCCATTTGAAGCAAACCTGGTCATCTGCGTGATGAGCAATCAATAGTACTCCGATCTGATGTTGGAAGCAAATATGTTGGAAAATTTCATACCTAGATCATTAGAGGGTGAAAAGGTAAGGAAAAAATATTCAATACCATATGGAATTCACTCATCTTTCCCCAGGTGCAGGGATTGGGGGTTGGAGGGTTGCGTTGTGGAGATGGATTGCAAAAGACAAGCAAGTGGATTTGATCACCTCTTATCACGAGCTGCCTCTTGCAAGTGACCAGGTTTGGGCCTACCATCCAACCAATCGCAACGGGCAACTTCACATTTGATTCCTAAACACAGCCTACATTACATCAATGGAAGTTTCAGGTTCAAACTATATCAAAACCACCCTAAAGAAAGAACGGGTATTTTTACCCATATCAACAATTCGTCGACAAACAAGGTTCGCTTCCTCTGTACTTTCTTTTCGCAATCCATGGTCTACAACAATTGCCAAAATGCCATCAATGAACTTGCTTCTTCCCGTGGTAGTAGCAGGATTATGATTTTCACTTTTCCAATGTGCAGCTAACACACACAGGGCCATGCTGTCAGGGCCACCAGAAACACCGATAGCTGAACAGAAAATCAAAACACTCTTATCAATCACAATTACTTTCCACTGGGAAAAAGAGACAAAATATGATGCTTATAGAGAAAATACATATTAAGGTGCAAAACATGTCTTGCCTGTTGATGCAGTCATGTTCAACCATGAATTTCAAAAGGAAATGGCATAGTTCAAATTCCAGGGATATTTAGATTTTACATTCCTTAACCATCTGGTGTACTTAATTGAATATTTTGGGAATTTAAAAGGGTAAAACCAGTAAATGAATTTGTGGACTTTCAAATACTTAGCATAACCAAAATTTTAAAGCTAATCCTATCAGAACCATATTGGAAAATTCACTCCGCCTGATTCCAATAAAGATCTGGTAAAAGAAACAAGAGGATTGTTAGAATCTCAGTTGATCTGCTAATCCTGGCATACATTATCCTTCAAATATTCACCTCATAAAAAATAAGAGAAATAAAAACTCAACTTACCAAAGAGTTGGGAAATCTCAAATATTTTCTAGGTATCGAAATGGCAAGATGAAGAGATAGTCTGTTTGTTTCTCAAAGAAAGCATGCCCTTGACTTGCTCAAAGAAATGGGATCTTTAGGGAATAAAACCTGCAGAAACTCTTATATATCCAAACCATAAATTGGGATTTAGCGGTGAAGAAAATCCAGTAGATAAAAGGAGATAGAAAAGGCTAGTTGGGAAGATGATCTTTCTCACACGAGACCCGACATCACCTATGCACTAGGAATGGTAAGTCAATTTGTGCACACTCCCAAGGAGTGTTTAAATGATTCTAAGATATCTAAAAGCTACTGCAGGAAAAGGGCTTCTATTTAAAAATTCTGAGCATCTCCTTGTGTAAGTTTATACCGATGCAGACTAGGTTGGTTGGTTCAGTTACAGATAGAAGTTCTACGTCCGGCTACTGCACTTTCATAGGAGGGAACCGGGCCACTTGGAGAAGCAAAAAACAATATTGCTGTCCAGTACACGGAACATGCGACGTTCTATGGATCCAAAAATTACTAAAAGAAGTACAGTTAAAACCTTCTTCACCTATGAAAGTTAATAGTAAAGGTGCAATAAGTATAGCTAAGAACCCTATCCAGTATGATCGAACTAAGCTTAAAAGCTTCACCACCAATGAAAGTTAATAGTAGGGGTGCAATAAGTATAGCTCACAACCCTGTCCAATATGATCAAACTAAGCATGTTGAAGTGGAAAGACACTTCGTCAAAGAAAAATTGAAAACGGACATATTACTACCCCAATCATGATAACTCACCAACAGTTGGAGGATATCCTCACTAAGGGAGTCTTTGTTGTTGCTTTTGAAAATTTGATAGGCAAGCTGGGAATGTGCAATATTTACTCGCCAGCTTAAGGGAGAGTATTTTGATTTGCTGACTTTACTGCAATTGATACTTGTATAATTTATGGTATGTATAATATTCTAGGATATAATTATAATTTGTATAGTAGTAATTGATTATGTATTGCTGGTGATTATAAATTCCTAGTATAGGATGGGGGTATAAAAAGGATGTATATCATTTTCTCTAATGTATATTACAGATTATTCATCCTTTATTTCGGCAAACAAAGATAATGTTTCTCATGACCCAAAAAAACCTAGTTCAGATGTTGCTCTCTTCACATAATGTCTCTCATGACCCAAAAAAACCTAGTTCAGATGTTGCTCTCTTCACTTTAATCCCAATCTAAGTTCCTTATAAACAGAAAAGTGCATAGAAAAATTCAAGAATTTATTTTGCAAAGGCTTAGTAGAATAGTAGCATATCAGTCCATACCATGAACTTATTCTCGATGCATCACAGAAACCCATACATAAAGTGTCTGTCTTATTAAACTCAGAAGCTTACTCTTATTAGTTCAAACATTTGACAGCTATACAAAAATATCGAGTTACATGGAGAGATGATTATGATACCCAAATAAGCCAAAAAGCAGGCTTATTTTTTCAGAAATAAGCACACCCAAAGCTGCGTTGGGGGAATATGTAATGTGTAAAAAATATCAATTAACAGAAGAAATTAAAAACATCATAAGAGAGTTAAAAAGCAAGTCTTAGAAATTCACGTCAATGACGTTGTCTTAATTCGTGTTGCCTCCCCCTTCGTGCAGGTACTTTCAAAAATACACAACTCCGAGATAAAGTCCTTATACTTCACAATCGATTCTCCTTCTATGAGCATGTCAAATTTTGATAAAATGAGACAAAAGATGGTTAAAATTATTCCCTTGTTTGAGCCCCATTTTCGAGGAAAGAATGCATTTTGAATAGCAGATTAATGGAAAATATGTGGTTAAAAATTAAGGAAAAATTTTGGGTTTGCGTGTAATATTATTTTATTAAAGAATGTGTTGTTGAAAATGAGTTTTAAAAAAATGAATTTTTAGAAAAATGAGACTCAAACAAGGGCTATATGAGATACTGAATAGTTATAAAATTAATATAGAACATACCGATGAAAAAAAATAATATTTTGGCAGCTAATTTAAGTAGACAAGTTATTACTTTTCTAACTCATTATCTTCATGGTGCATATGGATTAAAAGATGATGAACTTTGGAAATTTCAATCTAAGAGTGGCCCCACAAGCATCTAATCTTCGATTCAAAGGAAATAACTTAAAAAGACCACAAGAAATGGAGCATTGTCTACAGCATAATCTCTGGATGACACGTGACTCTAAACAGAAATTAGACAGCATTAATGCCCTAACTAGTCATTTTAGACAAATTTATAATCGAGTAGAAAGTAGAAATTTTAGTTTTTTCGCAGTAATTAAAGGTAGAAAGCCTGGTATATATAATTATTAACCAGAAGTATTATAACAAGTAGAAAGGTTTCCTGACCCTCTTTTCAAATGATTTTATACACTTGATGAAGCTTTAAATTTCTATAGAGAAATTATAGAATTTAATATCTACATATCAGAAAGAGTTAGATAGACTATGACCATGCAAACCACTATTTCTTAAGCGTCATCATCTTCATCAATGCAACTCTGTGATAATTGTGAAATTATAACCAAAGTTGTTAGAAATTTGAATCTTAAAAAACATTTAGAAGAAAGACTATAGATCATTGAAGATGAAGTATCTTCATCTCAACACACTATTAATAAATATTAAAATGAGATTCTTCATTTACACGATGATTTAGAAAGACTTAGTTATAGAGATATTCTTGAAAAACCCATCTCCAAAGACATTGCTTCCACGAATAGAAATTATTCTGATAAAATAGAAAGACTTACTGAACTAACAGATTCTACAGCTGCAGGGCAAGAAAAGACTTTATATGAATTGGAACAAAAACTTGGTGATTGCGCCAGTATTGTTCGAAATTCTATAAACAATTCAGTTATATAATAAATTATAGACTTTTCTCAAAATTTAAGCTACTATCACAATGAAAACAGATACTTACTCAAACATGGTCCCAAATAAGAATCAGCCAAAAATTCAGCCTTTCTTAGATATAATTATCCTACAATTTTCTTTGATTATATAATCTTTGAAGAAGAAGACCATTTTATGTAAAACGGTATGATAGATCTGTTTTAAATAGATCTTTTAGATTTTTTCCACCAAAACTTAAAAGATCCTTGATCAATTAAAAATCTATCCCTTGATGATTCAATTTATTTCCAGGCCCCCTCTTGTTAATAATTGTATTGTAATTCTAGCCTATCATTGCATATTAATATAAGAAGGAGCCAAAAGATTTAGACCCTCTTCAAAAACGAATACTAAAATGAAAATTAGATAGATTAATTATGAAAGATGGAGTCAAAGTAATGATTTCAGACTTGTAGCACAATGAAATAACGGAGTTATTTTTTGCCAATAGCACCTTCCCATAAAAATCAAAATAGAAAAAATTCCAATACCAAATTTTGAACAAGAGAAGCTATATCCGATGACGTTTCAAGAAGTGAATGGAGAATTTATAGAAACCCAATTAGATATTGAAGAAAAAGAATACATATCCGATGGAAAAGACAATAAAATGGATGCAGAACTAGAAGAAGCCTACATAGAAATGATGGACATACAGGTGCAATAACTGAAAAAGAAGAGATGCAAAGAAAAAGTAAAAGGCAAAGAAATAATGACTATAAGACAATTATCATGAAAAGAAGCATAAAGACAAAGCTTCCGAAATAAGTCTCATACAGCTGTAAAGATTGTAAAGTATTGATTACTTTTCTTTAATTGTAGATCACACCTGTAAATTTGTACAGCATAGATTCCTTTTCTTTAATTATAAATCACACACATGTAAAGACTGCACATTATCAAAGCAATAGACGTGATGTTTCCTCTAAATAAATTAATCGCTTGGTGTTTCCTCTGTTAGGCATTGCCTGAAATTAAATAAAGGAAAGGAAAAAATTTACACAAGGAGTATGAAAAGAACTTACTTTATTCTAAAGTCTTTAAATGTACAATGATGTCTTTACAAAGATTTGAGAGAATTTTTTTAGTGCAAGTGTTAAAGAGTGCTTTTTATTTTTTTCGATGTATCTTCCTTTGTGAGTGATATTGGTATTTATAGACGATAGTACATCACGTCTATTGTTTTGATACTGTGCAGTCTTGACAGTTGTGATTTATAATTAAAGAAAAGGAATCTATGCTACACAACTTTACAAATGTGATCTATAATTAAAGAAAATGAATCAATACTGTAAAATCTTTACAGTTGTATGAGACTTATTCCGAAATCTTTGTCTTTGTGCTTTTTCTTTTCCTGATAATTGTCTTTTAGTTATTATTTCTCTACATTTTGCTTTTTTCTTTACAACTCTTCTTCTTTCTCAATTATTGCACCTATCCATCCATCCATCATTTCTATGTAGGCTTCTTCTAATTCTGCTTCCATTTCATTGTCTTTTCCATCGGATATGTATTCTTCTTCTTCAGTATCTGATAGGGCTTCTGTAAATTCTCTATTCGTTTCTTGAAACGCCA